GACTGAAATTGATCAGTCTCTTATAGGCATATGTGCATACTGTGCGTATGCCTCGATATTGCCTTAATTTACAAGCATTATAAGCAATGATGGATAGTGGCTAGCAGTGGAATTCAGGACGCGCGTTTCGTCCTGTTTGGGACTCGTCAGCTGGATGTATCTGCATCTCAGAGTTGCTATTAATGATGGTATTACTTGTAATTTATAGTCCTGTAATTTTTGGTGTATTGTATGGGTTACTGCAAAATCATCAGTGATCAATTAATCCACTTCCATTTTCATAAAGTTGTTTTTAATCGAAAATCATTATTTGTAAAAATGTCAATAATAAGAACGTATTCACAATAAGCTTTGCACCCTAAAGATAATCAAATTGGCGGAAGAATTGAACCATGAATAGAGTACCGTTATCATCAGTGACAGTGAATGATTATTCCATTATATTGTAATTTGCTCAAAGTTGAAATTTTCGAACGTTGAGTTCTGACTTGCGACTTAACAATTTTATTATTTCACTTAGAGAACGAAATATCTAACCGACTATCATAATTATTATTCTAACATGACACAATCATCTGTATTGCCAAACTATGATCGCTTAAAATGATCATTTGCATGTTTTCGAATAAATCTCCTCTATAATAATGTATGATGATCATAATAAACCATCTATTCAAGCTTTAACAATACAGAAAAGTATAATTTATTGATTAATGAACCAATGAGGTAATTGATTATGTTAATAAAGTTAATTGAGAAGTACACTTGACTAATCACTACACTGTCCATTGGGGAATATATATATATATATATATATATATATATATATATATATATAGAGAGAGAGAGAGAGAGAGAGAGAAGAATCGTCAAACCATTAGAATAATGACGGACGAAAGTAGACTTATTCTCCATTTTCTTTCGAACCTTTCCCTCTCCACCATCAAAACACAATTGATCAATGTTGAGTAGTTTCTAAATTGAAATTACTAATCGTAAATTGTCGCTGTTCTTGAAAATCAACTTTGAATGAATAAAGGGACAGATAATTAAAAAGAAACATCGTTTTGAATTTTGACGCGTTATAATAAAACAATCATTTTCACTATTGATAAAGATATTTTATCAAGATTGGTTTAATTAATTGGTGGTATCCATCATAGACTGACTTGTGGAGTTCAGACATTTCACAAATGAAATAGTAAGCATTGATAACACTTAGGCAATACGGCATTTCTGTCACAAATTCATTGAATTAGGAGAAAATTATATCGTAATCCAAAACTAGCAGCAAGACCTAAAAACGTTGAGTTTGACCTCCGTCATAGTGTTGAAGAGTTTTATACTAAGACTAAAAATCTGTCCAATACTCAGTAATTTCGATTGGTACCTTAACTGTGGTGATCAATATCAATTGAAAGCTATTTCATTTATCAGGAGAGTGTAACATGTTTCGATGAAAACACTTTCGAAATAGTAGTAAAATGGTGTATTATTTAAATTATTTAAAATTACTAGATATACAGTAAATATGTTGGTGGTTACACGGTGTTAAATTTGGATTTGTATTAAACAGTACATTTTCTTCTAGTGGTCGACTGAATTATGAAGACTTCGATATTTGAGGGAAAACATGGACGGAAAACACTAACCCAATCACATTTGATGGAGAATGTCTGGAATATGTAGAATCCTTCACGTGTATGGAAAGCATCATCGATGAACAAGGAGGATCAGATGTAGACGTAAAGGCGAGGATTGGAAACACAAGTACAGCATTCCTACAATTGAAGAACATATGAAACTCAAAGCAACTTACAACCAATATCAAAGTTACAATCTTCAATACGAACATCAAAGCAGTCCTATTGTACGGAGCTGAAACTTGAAGAACTACGAAAACCATTATCCAAAAAATACAAGTGTTTATTAACAGTTTCTTACACAAAATACTTCGGATCCGTTGTCTAGACACTATCAGCAACAACCTACTATGGGACAGAACAAACCAGCTTCCAGCTGAAGAGGAAATTAGGAAAAGACGATGGAAATGGATATCACAGATTGCATCACGAGGTAAACTCTAACTTGGAATCTTGAAGGGAATAGGTAAAGAGGAAGGCCAAATAACAGATTACGTTGGGAAATAGAATCAGCTATGAAAAGGATGAATAACAACTGGAAAGAGCAGGAAACGATTGCATAAGACAGAGTTGGATGGGGAGTGCTAGTGGTTGGCCTATGCTCCTCCACGAGGGGTAATATGCGCAAGTAAGTAAGTTACTAAACAGTTCACGATTCAATCTCTAATGTGTACTTGTTTTTTTTAGAAAAATAGCAATTAGATCAAGTATGTAGTTTCTAACCAAATCAATAAATTATTTCTATACACTTGTAAAATTGTTTCTACCCATACATTACCATGTACTTGATTGAATGTTATTAAAACATGAGAGGAAATAATCGATAGATCTTTGAACAATCTTTTAAGTCCCTCTTTATTGAATAAAATAACAGATTTGAAAGGAAATTCAAGATAAACAACTAAATTAGAAAGTAAAACTTTTGATCTGTTAGCCAATTAAACAGATAATTCTCTACTTCAACATTTTTATATGTACTGCAGTCTAATACGACAGTCTCTAATCAATATTCTATTTGTTTTGTTGCACTAATCTGGTGAAGGTATTGAGTCATTTTTCCCATTATCGATTTAGTTTAGTTTAAATACATACCATGAGTTAATTGAAGTTAAACCACCATGGAAAAACTGGAAGCATTGGATGGCTACTTCGTCCTACGGTGGGACTCTTCAGTATGTGTGGTTTATCAATATTTCTGAAACTTAGTGAGAATAAACATATAGGAATGAAGGAAATAATCTTTATCAATTACGAAATTCGTCGTAAAACCTTATTTAATAATAAGAATGAGTTAAGAAATATGACTGAATACATAAATGAACTCTATCGTATTCTAGGTAAATCATAAATAAGAAAAACTATTTTTTTGTGGAAAATGATAAACATTACCAGTGTATTATTTGACTTATATTTCCTTCAAACTATACACTCGTAATATGTAGATTATTCTGTATTAGCGATAGGGCTATATTCAACGATAGTTTTACATTTGTTGAAAACTGGATTTTAAAAGTAAACATTAAGTTCTGTGATTATACGATTTATATTCAAAAAGACACACTTCCTTTGGGACTGCCTAACCTGACACGTCAGTTAGACGGGTAAGAATTAATAGGAAGCCTTTAATCGAAAAACCGGATATTCTATACAGATCGTGTATATATAAGACATAGCCGAGACTTTGACTCGGTTTATAATCGTTATGCTTTGTTCGTAATTTTTCATCTTCCACTTGAAATTTGAGCATGAGCACGTGATGAGTTGAGACTCGCCCAGCCTGTTGGGATATATATGTATTGTACAAGAGAAGGATTGCTTTAGGAATTAAATCATAATTAATAGCTCATATGAAAAATAACCTGAATCATGTTTGTGAATTATATTACCTGAATTAAATATAGCAGCGCATTGAAAATAAAGGGTCTATTAATTGAAGCTACTAACATTATTGTATAGCAATCATATAACTTTAGTTATGATTGCTGAACGACGGAAGGTCAATCCAATTAGACATCATGTTTTAACATGCATTTCGGAGTCACTAAGCCATAATATCAACAAAGTAATCACAGAATGCCAGCCAAATTATATCTGTGTTACTACTACTACTGCTACTATTATTATTACTGCTTCTACTACTACTGTTACTATTATTATTACTGCTTCTACTACTACTACTACTACTACTACTACTACTACTACTACTACTACTACTACTACTACTACTACTACTACTACTACTACTACTACTACTACTACTACTACTACTACTACTACTACTACTATTAGCACTACGGCTAGTACTCTCGTTGCTGTTAAGTGTATCACATTCACTTATATGACTAAACGTAAAGCGATCACAGAATGTAACAGATTTCCATTAGTTCACAAAAATCATTCTATGTTCCCGTTGAAATATTACTATACTCCTCTGGAATTGACATTTATTTTGGTTACTTCAAAAAGAAAAATGTTTTCTCTGTTGAGGTTATTGAAATCCTTTAATGACAATGCTTACAGAGGAGGGGGAAGCAGTGTAACATTAATAACACGGTAAAATAGAAACAACCTTTGATTTGAAATTATTGATTAGTTGATTGGTTCGATCAATACCTTTTAATTGGGCGGTTACAGTGAGCTATAACCTAATTGAACTGCGGATCTACACACATCTCATCGGAGGACTTAAACCAACAACAATTCCAGCCAGTTGACCAAGTTGCTCACTACATGTGAAACACTTGTTCATAATGGACATTTATTCACATTAATATCAAACAAGCTTTTCTGAATTACTACTAATCACACAACACTTCGCCTGGAGCCCCCCCCCGGGCGGCTACTGCCGGTCCCAAGCCCGGATAAAAGAAGTAGGGTTGGGCATGGGGTTACTGACCCCATCCTGTTGAAAACTAACTCGCTAAGAAAACGCTAACCAGAAAAAAATTATTCAAACACACAGCAACAAGTAATATCATTCATTATCTAAACAATTAGCTTGAAAGTTTAATTCTGTTTAATATATCAACAAGTAATTTGTAGTGACCATAATAAAATATAAATTCTCTTTATACGGGAAAAAATCTGTTTCCAAGTCATATTAGTCATTATTTTCAGGAAAAAAAAGCAACAATTAACAGAGAGAAACTGGGTTCAATAGTAATATACAGGTTCTGTGTAGTCATAGGATACAGATTTGTTAGAAATTTTGTTAAATTATTCCTTTAGGGAACTTCTCATCTATTTTTTTGTTCTTTGCTTCACCTCCTACTTGTATTTCTGGAAAAGGGGATGGCGGTGATAGGGGTGGTGGTGGTTACAGTAGATAAATGTTTCACTTGAGTAAATGAATTTTTAATGTTTACAAAAATTTCTATTTTTTATCCATATAATATAATAACCATTGCTACTACTACTACTACTACTACTACTACTACTACTACTACTACTACTACTACTACTACTACTACTACTACTACTACTACTACTACTACTACTACCAATACTACTAATAATAATAGTGACAATAATAATAGTAGTATTAGAAGTAATAATCCCAGACTTTATAATCATATGTTATTACAATAAATAGACAAAGTCAGTGAAAGGAAAACAAAAATTTTTATTGTTTAATTCAAAAGTATTTTGGGATAATTTGTATGAAGTACAATTATTATTCTGTTGGAAATTGGATTATTTCCTATTTCTATGTGAAGAATCGGTCATTATTATTATTATTATTATTATTATTATTATTATTATTATGTATTTTTTTACATACTCACTATACTTATGAATAATCATGATGATCGTAATTAGGTTGTGAAACATTGTTAAGCTGTGTGTGTATGTGTTTATGTATGTCGGCTTGACAACTAACTTAATTTATAACCAGTTGATGATTTTATTTATGGAATATGATTTACAAGAAGAAGAATGGAATAATTCCCTTTTATGGTATTATGAATTATATGGTTCTCTTAATTATCACATGACAAAATTGTCAACTTATATGACCTTGTCCTTGTGCTAAACCAATGATGCATTAAACAATATGAACGGTTTAGTGTCTATTTTGATTGCTTATTAGTCCTCTGCATAGTGATTTTGCGCCTAGCCCAATCTGTTTACTCCAAAACATAAATACTAGCCCACGCTGTATGAATCGTATATATCAGACATACGTGGTTTATATACAAGAAAATTAGACTGTCCAAACCCTAAAATGTAAAATATTAATTGTACAAGGTCGAGAAAACAGTGTCTGTGAGTGTGGGATACTGTAATTAATGGTAAGTCGTATAACAGTAGGTCGAACGAAAGCTTGAGTATAATATAATCTAGTTACTCGTTAATTATGCAATAAGAATGTGTATAATAATAGTCCATAAATATTTCGTAGCAATTATCATACATTAACTTTCGTTGGCATATGACATATAATGTAAGACGTATAGCAAAGAAATATAAAATATTGATTTCAATTGATTTGAGATAATCAACATAAAGTCTTACCTGATCTAATTTTTGTGATCGTTGATACTTGTTAACAAACGCAGTTTACAATTCTCAGCTAATTGATATTGCCTCGAAAATCAAAATCTTGCATAAACAGATCAGTCCAAATAAATGGTATATACCGAGAAGATTTGTAGCTCAGGTGGATGATTTTGATAGATTTTTGTTCTTTGAGCTGAATGGTTTGGTCATGGTGCTTTCATTGTTCTTGTGATGATGATATCGTTCAGAAGAACGATGAAAGCTCCATGATCAAACCATTCAGCTCAGCGAACAAAACTCCATCAAAATCGCTAAAGTACTTGTATCGTTCCAAGTGACATTATTTATTTATTATTTATTTGAACACATAAATACTGGTATAAGGAAGCACCAAATAAATATGCGCTACACAAATCTCATTTCATTTGTGTGAGGGCTGTGATAATGTCCAGGTGCCCAGACAGAAACAGGTGATTTTCTTAACGCGCCACACTCGGAGCCTTTGACCTAAAGGTTTGATCCACAAGGAAGTGGAGCATCGTAAGAAGATGCAGTCCGATGGTAGTCGGTGACCAATAATTGGTTCACACGCCATTTGTTCTCTTAGGGTACTGGAGCCCATGTGCACCATTAGTTGGGAATCAGGGTTTTTCAACTCCCCTAGATGGACTTTCTGTGTTTACTAACCCGGTTAAAGCGCCGAACATTCAAAGTGACAATATATAATAGTAAAGAATACTGTTTCCAGATTTCAAACAAAATATTTCTTCATACTTAAATTCTACTGGAAAACAATACGAAATAATTTAGTTTAATTCTTAGATCATCTCTCATGATTATGCTATTTGTTAAATGACTGAGCATTCTAGTAGTCTACCAAGGAATAAGTATACAATTGTTTGTTTGTTTTTGTATCGTTTTACATCTATGAGATATGATCAAAGTAATCTAGAAACATAGATGGGAAAATTGTGTTAAACGAAGAAATTGTTCTGATTTTCAAACATTTCAATTCATTAATTATGTTATCCATATTGATTCACTGCAGTCATCAATGTAGAAGTTATGCTGTTCAAATGATCACAGTGTTATTTGTAATAATGAACATTGAGAAAACTGTTTCTTTGTAAATTGAATTAGTCATAACGAGTTATGTATTTCTGAATCTGAGTTTGTTATCAGTTAAATGCAACTAATCAGATAGTACGTATTAGACGCAGTGTATATTAGTGATTGTAACATGCATAACAGCTGACTATAAGTATGGTATGTTATTTAAAATATGTAAAATTAATATTGAAATATTATTGGTTGTTAATAAATGAAACTCTGCCTGGAGGCTCCTCTGGGGCTATTGTCGCTCCCAAGCCCGAATAAAGGAAGAGGGTTGGGTATGGAGTTAGCAACCCTATCCTATAGAAATCTAACTCGCTAAAAAAAACGCTAACCCTAACCATTTATAAATGAAATATCTAAGTAAATGAAATACTAAAGTACTGAATGCAAATTAGAGAGTTTATAGAAAGTGTTTTATTCGTCATTTACAACATACACTTTATTTTTAATTAGATATACTTACTCTCACCGTTTATGTTGATGCTATGACACGAATACCTAATTATTTAGAAAGATTCTTAGCTATGACACTACAATTTAGTGAAAACAGAATGATGATTTCAACTAAGCGGTTCATGTTTTAAAGGATTACTGTAAAGTTTGAATATATTATGTTCAATCAACAACTGAACCGTGGATAATCACTGCTTGCATGTTACATAATAGAGTGAAAGAGTTGTCCAATGTTTTCTTGATTTTCAATGGTTTTCTGTACCTGATTTAGTTTTCACGAATAATCGATAATTAAAGCTACACATCAGGGATAAATGTTTATTATTAATGTAGAAACTAATTGTCCTTAGCTAACCATTTTAAAGCTGTAGTTGAAACCATGGAGTAATGATCAATCGAAATTCATTTAACTGGAATCATTAAACATCAGGAGCAATGATAGACATGAATGTATTTCATGATTAGAAACAGTTAAACAAAAATAGTGAATTAAAACAGAATGACAATGGGGTAATTTGTTCAGTAATTAATAATTAACTATTATTGGAAGAGGGTTTTTGGAGATTTTAGTAATTTCAATGGTTAAAACCATGAGTCAATTGAAGCTAGACCATCATGGAAAACCTGGAAGCACTGGAAGGCCATTTCGTTTTAGTATGGGACTCCTCAGCAGTGCACATTCATGATCCCGCACCCCCCGAGAGATTTGAACCCAGGACGTATCAGTCTAGAGCGCGAGCTCTTAAACATTAGACCACTGAGCCGGCCGGCATCCAAAGGTATTAATGTCTAGCTTCAATCAATCCACGAAGTTGCGCCACTGCACACCATTGATTTCAGTGAGCTGATATCTCACAACAAACCTGGTTGAACTCCACTGGTAACTGCTTCCCACTAGAACTTCAGAAAATTAACTATTATCCTTAAATGCATAATCTCCCAATACAATGTTATTGCGACGTGTGCCATTGATGTCGATAGATATAAGTAGTATATATCATCAATCCAAAGTCGAATGTCTGACGTAAGAAAATTGAGGAAATTGAAGAGAGGAGAACAAGTACATGGAATGATTAGTATGGAAACTAAGGTACAACAAAATTTAAGACAATCAATGAATAGATTTTTCAAATGATGTATTTACTGTATGGTTCTTAGATTTTATCAATATATTCTATAATGCTGTGGTAAAATACATTTGCTTGTCTCCTCCTATGTTCTCGTTCATTACGCAACCAGCATATTAATTATTGCATATGATTTTGTAATAAGCAGTTAACATTTACATATTGTTTATATACAAAAGATATCAGTTTATTTGTTATGAATAATGGTATACTGTTTATTTACGAAATTTACGAAACATTTCCCCTTTGAATACATATTACTGTGGAATTAAAGGCAACTAATTGCATATCAGCATGCACCAACCCAATCACAATTGATGGAGAAGATTTGGAAGATGTAAAAACCTTTACATATCTCGGCAGCATCATTGATGAACAGGGTGGATCTAATGCAGATGTGAATGAGCGGATCGGCAAAGCGAGAGCAGTAAATTTACAACTGAACAACATCTGGAACTCAAAGCAACTGTCAGCCAACATCAAAGTCACAATTCTCAATACAAATATGAAGACTGTTCTACCGTATGTTGCGGAAACCTGGAGAACTACGAAAGCCATCATCTAGAAGATACAATTGTTTATTACACAAAATACTCCGGATCCGTTTGCCAGACACTATCAGCAAGAAGCTACTATGGGAGAGAACAAAGAAGATTCCAGTGAAGTAAGAAATCAGGAATAGGCGCTGGAAGTGGATATGACACACATTGATGAAATCACCCAACTGTGTCACAAGTCAAGCTCTCACATGTAATCTTCGAACCGAGGGATGAGCAGAGGAACACCAAAGAACACATTACTTGGAGAAATGGATAGAACTAGAAAATAAAGCCCATGACAGAGTGCGTTGGAGAATGCTGGTCAACGGCCTATGCTCAATCGGAGGTAACAGGCGCAAATAAGTAAGTAACTGCAAAATTGGTAAGCTGTTCGAGGCATTCAAATGTTATTTTTCAGAAATGTATAAATATATGAATTGATATATATATGTGAATGAATATAAACATTGCATATGTACAGTTTGCACAGTTTGTATTTATTGCAGTGAGTCTCATTGGTGGAATGTGTAAGAACTGCGATTAACTATTGCGTTTCAATTTATGAGAAATTTGGTGGATATTATAGTAATTTTAATAGTCGAGATCATGGGTCAATTGAAACAATGACCAGTAAAGTTCAAGCTGGTGACCAAATTTCGTAGATTATTTAAAATTACACAATAACACTTGTGGATACCGGCTCAGTGGTCTGGAGGTTAACCGTTCGCACGTGACACCGATAGGTCTTGGGTCCGGATCTCGTGAGGTGAGATCGTGAATGAGCAATGTTGAGGAGTTCCACAATAGGACGAAACACTATCCAGCGTTTTTAGGTTTTCCATGGTTGTATAACTTCAATTGACTCATGATCCCAACTAATAAAATTTCCTATTTATATTAAGTATGCTTTATGGATACAACAAAAGAAATGATGATAAATAATTGCATTCTATAGAAATATAATAAAAGGAAATTAAAATTATCAAAGTGAACCAACGCCTAAGACAAATCAATCATGCTTACTAATTGATCAATATTTTTAATAATTAAACATTATTATCATAATATTCTTTATGGCAAATGGACTCTCGTTAGTTTTATCAACATTTAAACTTGGATGAATTATAAATTTTAACAGTTGAATTCATGAGTCAATGTAAGCTAGGCCGCTATTTACTCCTCAGCAGTGCGTGTACACGATCCTACACATGAAAGCTTAGCCTCAAAGCCATTGGGCCGGCATCCAATGGTTTTAATATCTAGCTTCCATCGATCCACAAATTGCTGCTCAACCATTCACTCCTTGTCTCAGGTAGATACCTGTCTCTACCCAACACGGATTAAAGTCTACTGGTTACGGTTCCTCACTAGAACTCCATAAAATCATCTTGATAATGGATAGATGGTTGCGCAGCTATTTATGGATCTATGAACTCTAAACATTAACATCGTTAGATGCCAGCTCATTAGTCTAGAGGTTAAGCGTTCGCGTGAGAGATCGCGGGAGCGCACTGTTGAGAAGTAAATGGTGGTCTAACTTACATCAACTCATGAATTCAACTTTTATAATTACTACAATCTCCACAAACCCCATTCTGATCAAAATTATAAGTTATTATTACTGATTTGTTATAAAATCCAATTAAAAATATTGAACAAAGTACATGTCAAACTACTCTTCATTATTAATTGATCAGGCCTAGATCAAGGTCATCATATCATAATCATTGTAGACAGAAATAATGTCAGTAAATAAATTGGTATTGAATTAGGGTAAAAGCTATGGTAGTTATTATTGAATACTATCATCAACAACCTACTATGGGAGAGAAAAAACCGAATTTTAGCTGAGGAGGAAATTAGGAAAAGGACATTGGAAGTGTATAGAACACAGATTGAGGAACTCATCAAACTGTGTCACGAGATAAGCGCTATCTTGGCATTGTGAAGGGAAACGAAAAAGCGGAAGGCTAAAGAACACACTGTGTCGAGAACTGAAACCATACATGAAAAGGATCAATAGGAATTGGAATGAACTGGAAAAGATTGCCCAGTTCAGAGTTGTATGGAGAATTCTGATGGTTGGCCTATGCTTGTCAATGCGGGGTAAGAGGCATACATAAGTAAGTAAACGATCATATCATCATATTCACTATCAGATGACAAAAACGTATAAATATATTAACTATGCTAATTTTTGTCCACGGACCAAGTAATTGAGGATAGCTGAAATCCCGTTTAGCATGATGTAGGGAATATATATATATCAAAGTAACCACATATCAAGATTCTGATTGTGTAATAAAGGTTTATCAATTCATCACTGGTTATTTAAATCTAACCACAGTGTTAATTACTCTGTAATTTCGTCCTATGCTAACAATGTTTCACTGACATCTTTGATCACATACATGTGTGTTTTCATAGATCTCCTATACAACTTAAAGTATTTATCACTATTACATCAATTTTCTGTGATCATGTTGAAGTACTCAACATGTATTAAATGTATAACACCGGAACTGACAACAACAACAACAACAACAAACTTAAGTGAAACAGAATTATTCAAACTATTTACAAATGAGTGATTTCAATCAGTATTATATACATTTATTAACAAAAAAAAAAGTAAAATAAACAATGTTATTTGATATGTCATTCAGGAAGTAACCATTCTAGTTATTAGATACAATTTGAAACAAACAATAAAAGAAAATAGAAATTTATAATATTAGAAGGGGGTGTTTTGTGGATATTTTATAGTAGGTTGAGATCATGAGTCCTATGAAACTAGACCCCTATGGAATACTTGAAAGAATTTAGAAAACAATGTACCTAAAAAGCATGTGTTTTTTGTTTTGTTTGTTTAAAAAAAAGTTATTTCACATGATAACTTATTATAATGTTGTATATGTGTATAATTTTCCACTTCATTACTCATTAAAAGATTAACTCAATTGATTATATTGTAGTGGTACCCTGTAAAGAAAAGAATGTTCTGATCAGGATGGTGATGATGATGATGATGATGATGATGATGATGATGATGATGATGATGATGATGATGATGATGATGATGATGATGATGATGATGATGATGATGATGATGATGATGATGATGATGATGATGATGATGATGATGATGATGATGATGATGATGATGATGATGATGATGATGATGATGATGATGATGATGATGATGATGATGATGATGATGATGATGATGATGATGATGATGATGATGATGATGATGATGATGATGATGATGATGATGATGATGATGATGATGATGATGATGATGATGATGATGATGATGATGATGATGATGATGATGATGATGATGATGATGATGATGATGATGATGATGATGATGATGATGATGATGATGATGATGATGATGATGATGATGATGATGATGATGATGATGATGATGATGATGATGATGATGATGATGATGATGATGATGATGATGATGATGATGATGATGATGATGATGATGATGATGATGATGATGATGATGATGATGATGATGATGATGATGATGATGATGATGATGATGATGATGATGATGATGATGATGATGATGATGATGATGATGATGATGATGATGATGATGATGATGATGATGATGATGATGATGATGATGATGATGATGATGATGATGATGATGATGATGATGATGATGATGATGATGATGATGATGATGATGATGATGATGATGATGATGATGATGATGATGATGATGATGATGATGATGATGATGATGATGATGATGATGATGATGATGATGATGATGATGATGATGATGATGATGATGATGATGATGATGATGATGATGATGATGATGATGATGATGATGATGATGATGATGATGATGATGATGATGATGATGATGATGATGATGATGATGATGATGATGATGATGATGATGATGATGATGATGATGATGATGATGATGATGATGATGATGATGATGATGATGATGATGATGATGATGATGATGATGATGATGATGATGATGATGATGATGATGATGATGATGATGATGATGATGATGATGATGATGATGATGATGATGATGATGATGATGATGATGATGATGATGATGATGATGATGATGATGATGATGATGATGATGATGATGATGATGATGATGATGATGATGATGATGATGATGATGATGATGATGATGATGATGATGATGATGATGATGATGATGATGATGATGATGATGATGATGATGATGATGATGATGATGATGATGATGATGATGATGATGATGATGATGATGATGATGATGATGATGATGATGATGATGATGATGATGATGATGATGATGATGATGATGATGATGATGATGATGATGATGATGATGATGATGATGATGATGATGATGATGATGATGATGATGATGATGATGATGATGATGATGATGATGATGATGATGATGATGATGATGATGATGATGATGATGATGATGATGATGATGATGATGATGATGATGATGATGATGATGATGATGATGATGATGATGATGATGATGATGATGATGATGATGATGATGATGATGATGATGATGATGATGATGATGATGATGATGATGATGATGGGAAATGTTGACATGAAAAGATGTAACTTTTTTGTAGAGAAATTTATCATGGATTCATAACTCAATGAATACCAATCTTAACCAAGTGGGTTCATAAAGAATTTTTCATCAAGTTTTATTAGTTAGTCAAATTTTATGGTTTAAAAATTAAGGTGCTGTTAGCTGAAACCAGTTCATTTACACAAATGTATTCACTCCATAACTTGGCCAAAATTCAAAGTGAACCACTATCCACTGTGAAGTTTTGTTACTTCATGCTAAACTACTTATCTTTTCACTTGATTGATATCATCGTTGTTTCAACTTCTTAGTATTCTGTCTAATTTCATTTCTTTAGTTAACATGAACTAATGTAAATTTGAATGGATCCAAATTTTTGTCCCTTGATGAATTTCGATACAAGAATCAGAAGACGGAGTTGATCTGAAAAATGTAATGTATTTGCGCTATACATTTCGAACAATCTGATCACACATATACTTCTCAGGGCATCTTATATGAAAATTAAGAAAGGGTAATTAAATGGAAGTTCAAGTAAAAAAAATTACCAGAGGGGAGCGAAACATTTTAAAATTGTATAGAAAGAATAAGAAATTGTCAAGTTATCCTAGGTCATAGAATGACTTGATTATCAAGGTAAATTCAAGGTTACGGCTAATTGTTTTTGAACACATGAGGGGATTTAAACTTAAAAATAGTCAAGGTTTCAATAAACCTGAGAATTCGTCTTTGATGAATTATCTAAAAGTGAATCGTTATGATGAAATGTTAGACACTGACATATCTACTGGAGATCGTGGAATGTATCTATCCTCGTACATCTTAATCTATTTCATTACCAGGAGAGTTGTAACTATTTCCTATTCTTTATACTAAGAAAGTAATGTAAACTAACTTACTTTTCTGTCTTGCTACATTCCATATGTTATGTAAGTGCATATATTTTCTTCATTTTCTACATCATTTAAAGAATTTTATTTAAACCATTATGGTAAATACGGTTGAATTTCATTAAGATCTACCTTGATATTTTAATGTGATCTGTTAATTTATCGGAGAAGTCACGGATGGCTAGTTAATTGTAATTTTGAACTACATACATTCCTCAATACGAAAAAGGATAACCAGCTAAAAAAATCGCATTTTTTGTTTAGTTATACAACCAATACATGGGTTGGAGAATGCCGGTCGGTGGCCTATGTTCCACTGAGAGCAACAGACGTATTTAAGTAAGTAAGTAACATGTAATATTTCCATATTTGGGATAGTTAATTGTGAAAAATATCAAAACCTATTGAAGTAAAGAAAAAACTCGGTTTCTTATGGTTTTTGCAAACTATGTTCTTCAATTTTATAAATTTTTATATTTATTTATTTGAACATGTATATATTGGTACAAAGGGGTACCAAATACATATGAGCCACACAAATCACTCGATTTGTATGTGGGCTGCGATACTGCCCGTGTGCTCAAACCAAAGCAGACCTAAAAGTCTAATCTATAAGGCAATGGAGCAATGTTAAGAAATGTAGTCCCATGGTAGCTGGTGACCAACAATTGGTTCATACACCATTTGTTCCTTCAGGATCCTGGAGCCTATGTGACCATTGGTTTGAAATCAGGGTTTTGCAACTCTCCTGGGTGAATTCTCCGAGTTCACTTACTCGATTAAAGCTCTGGATGTTCACTTTTCGTCCTCTCACGTTCGTGAACAACACCACCGCCACGAGAAAGCAGTGAGTAGGACTTCCCTGGCAATGGATGTATACTTGTGTCTATGTGAGAGTATTTTGAGAGGGGGGGCTGACTCTCTCCACCCTCGACCGTACCAAACCATTTGAAGGCAAAATTTTATATACTATCCATCATAAGCGAATATTGTGAAATTTATAAGTCATCACAACGAATATGATAACAGTTTGTATTATTTGATCTCTTCCAAACGAAATGTTAGATATCCGCTATCCTAGAAATAAATATCACGAGGTAATAATGGAAATTATCACAAAAACGAACATCATTTACAAAACAGGATTTTCTATATCAAATAACATCGAGAAAAAAATTCAATTATCCCAAGAAACCTGATTAAGGAAGGAAATTATCTGACAGACGAAACAATACAGTTCCATAACTAATAATTGAAAATTAGAAGGAAAACACTTCTATGAAGCACTTAGAAATACTCAAAGGAAATTATGGTGATAACAATAATATATATTATTGTTATTTTAAGGTGGTAAGAACTAGTTACCGGGACCCCTTAGACCTAGGTTTCATATGGGTTAGTACTGGTTATCAAGGCATTTATGTACCATTTCTGGGAACTGAAGGTTTGATTTATGTAAAAAAATGTCCCACCTATTGGTTACATTTTAAATTGATTAATTAAACGTAATCATCACATAAAATTGGGTAACATAAGATCAATTATGTTTATGTTTTTTGATGGAGTTTTGTTCCAGCTCAGAGAACAAAACTCCATCAAAATCATCCGTCTGAGCTACAAATCTTCTCTATCATCTCATTATGTTTACGTATTTATGTGTAAACTCTATCTGTTTTTAAAATAATCAACTTTGATTGCCTACTTGAACAGGTTAGAGATAAAGAATCTTTCAACGTCAATCTAAGATGATCTTATCCATAATAATCAAAATCTTTATGGAGTCATTAGTGAAATGTCCAGATATCCAGTGAATATTGACTAATAAGACTAATAGTTTTAATATATGGATACAACAAACTTGTTTACAATAAATTATTCTTTGTAGGTATTATGTAACTATGGATCATATTTACGTCTTATAAGTCATTTCAACTTGTGAACAAAATAAAATGAGAATAAAAAAAAACACCTTCTTCTGAAACAAACAAACAAAAATATTGATTAACTGTCATTTAATCTTTAGCCGTAAATGTTTACGGTCCATTTTACATCTTATAATTATATTTATTGCATGAGTTCAATTATTATCAACTATATCTTTTCTCTCACCTGCCTACAATTGAAGAATATATGGAATTCAAAACAGCTGTCTAATAACCAATATCAAAATGAGAATCTTGAATACGGACGTTAAGACAATTCAACTGCACGGAGCTAAGACTTGGAGAACCACCACAACCATCATCAAAAATGTACAAGTATTGATAAACAATTATCTAAGTAAGATACTACCCACTGACCGGATACCATCAGCAATAGCCTACTGTGTTAGAGAACAAACAAACTTCTAGCTGAAGAGGAAATTTGGAGAAGACGATGAAAGCGGATAGGACATACATTACGGAAATTATCAAACTGAATCATGAGGTAAGCCCTAACTTGGAATCTTGAAGGGAAGGGGAAAAGAGGAAGGTCAAAGAACACATTACGTTGGGAAATGGAAGCAGATATGAAAAAGATGAATAGAAACTAGAAAAAGCCGGAAAGGATTGCATAAGACAGAGTAAGTAAGTAAGTAAGTAAGTGAGTAAGTAAGTAAGTAAGTAAGTACGCAAGCAACCAAGCAAGTAGTTAAGTACTAACTTTTCTCTAAATAACAAATTGAAACAAACTGAATCAACATAATCTCACTTTACCTAGTTTTTTATTCATTTCCGTTATTATTATTTTTTTAAATTTAGCAAACTTGTTTCTGAATGAAAACATCACAGCGGTAAATATCCTTGATCCTATCAGAATCATTGTTAATTTCACAAACATTTTCATGACCAGTATTGTCGTTGTTGTTGTTGTTGTTGCTGTTTTCCTCTACTTCTTCTTAAAGCAAAAACTTTCTCGTTTATTATTTTTTTTTACTTGAATGAAACCCATAGTTCTATAACTCATCTACCGAAAGTTCTACCACAGATTATGTTTTTTTATCAAAGGAATTTTAAATTTATCTTCTTTACCAATCTTTTGTTGTTGTTGTTGGTGGTTGTGTTGGGGGTGGGGGTGTTGTTGTTGTTGACTGAAATAAATCCTTTAGACTTAAGACTTGATTGTTCTTGAGATAGGCAATAGATTAAACACGAGACTAACTACTACTTAGCTTATTCTTTTGTATTATTATAATATTATATCAATCTCATAGATTAAGCATTATCATATTACATAATATAATTAGTTTAAATGATTTTTAAGTTATGTAGATGTGATAAGATTTAATTGGTTTAATGGTTAACTGAAATATTGTAAGCAATTTTAAGGACAAAAGAACTAAAATATACATTCCATGCAACCAACCATAAATTAAATTCACTTGGTGTTGTTCTACTTGTATCTTCCTATTGTTATTTTAGACTGTAATAGATCAGTCTCATGTTGGCATAGGTGCATCCTGTGCGGATTACCTAAATGTGGCTGCAAGTCACAAGTATAGTGAGTAAAGATGGATAGTGGTTAGCAGTAGAATTTAGTTTGACACGCATTTCGTCACATTTGTAACTCGTCAACTGGATGTATCTGCATCTCAGAGTTGATGTCCACTCTGGGATTAGAACTCAGTAATGCTCGCTTCAAAGGCGAGTCTTGGATTTCACTGCCAGCCAATATCCATCTTTCCAACCATTAGTTAGTTTTATTTAGAGATTGATACTATTTGAATATTTAGCCAACTGTTTAAAGATAGTGCTAATATGAAACGAAAAAAAGAGTTTATATTTAGCTTAGTTGAATTATTCAAATACCTGGCAACTATGCTGATTACTGTTGGAGACGTTTGGAAGATAATTAGAGGTGGCCAAACTGAAACTTGACACCAATTACTGAAGTCACTAACTTCTAGTCTGAGCCATGTTGGTAGATACAGACTATTCGGTTGCGGTCCGTGTGACAATCGTAACCAATGTTTGAAGAATCTTGGTGATATGGCTCAGAATCCATGATAATGACGTAGGTGTATATACTTGAGATGGTAGAGATTTTTAGCTCAGGTGAATGCTTTTGCCGGAGTTTTGTTCTCTAACTGAAGTTTGTGTTGATGATGTCGTTCAGAAGGATGATAAAACCTCGGCGAACAAACCATCCAGCTCAGAGAAAATACTCCATCACGACGCGTATACTCTTTGTTTTCCCTTGAATTGTGAGATTAAAATCACTTTATATTTTTCTTTCTAATTCTTTCTTCCTGTATTATATCCTTATGTACAGTTTTTCTTTTATATATTACTACCATTAAAGTAACTACTTCTATGAATTTGGTGTTCATCTTATTGTTCTCATGAAGTACGATAACTTGGACCGATGCATACGTTGTGACTGACTGACTAATCAACTAACTATGTAGAAGATAGATAATGTGATCTGGAAACCTCTATATTTCCTAGAAGTAAAACGATCTCTAATTCACTATACCATTGTTACTGAAGCTCTTTAAATACCAACAGTTTGTTTACATTAGTTTACATGAAGTCTTGTAGATTGATAGATATATAAATGACATTGTAAACCTAATATCAATAAATAATTCATTATACTAATTTATCAGACTTGTAAGAACCTATTCCAAAAACTTAAAGAATAAATGAATTAAAAGCATTCAGCAATACCATTGTAAGACATCTCCTTGATAAAGTCCATACACTGAAGTCTTTCAAGGTGATTAACAAACAATCAAATTTTCTGAAATTTGCCGAAGTGCTAGGAATTAAACTTCTATAACCAGATCTATGTACCCAAAAAGAGACAGTAATAAATCTTTCTTTGCCCTGGTAACATTAAATCTCCTTTTTCATTTATTACCTCATTCATTATTTCAACTCTTTCTGAAATGTAACTACATGATTGTCATTTTTCGTCAATTCATAACTGACTGATTTCAATTCATTCTTTATTACCTATGGTCTGTTTTCAGTTGCTCCATTACGTAATGCTTGATAACTCCATGGATTCTAATCCCTAATTGAATGTTCTAGAACTTTTCCTTTCAAAC